TGCATTTCAGAGATGAAGACGTTGAGTGAAGGTCCCAAGGCTGGTTAATAGTGAAGCCAGGATTTGAATCGAAGGGTGTGGCTCTCGGTGCTTGGGACTTTGCTGGTTTTAGCATGGAAACAGTCCGGAGTTCCAGGAATCTCTTCTGTCCCAGGCAAGCCAGGATGGTCAGAACTACGGGGTGACCTCCACAGGAGAGGGGACAGCTGTGACATAGTGGCCTTTTAAGGGAGGCTCTGCACCCTGCTGTTGCAAAGCAGATGGCCCATCTTTCCAGGAACGGCCCCCTCTGAGGGAGCTGGTTAGCGCTCTCACTTCTCCTCACTTGATGATGTTGACCTAGACACGGTCCCATTCCAACATCCTTTAGACACATGGTCTGGACAGTACTGCACCAGGGCACAGCGTGAATTGGTGCCTTTGGAGAAGACATCTCCTTGATTGCATTTTTGCTCTGCCACCCGCAGAGTGTGGTGTTGATGAGGAATCATGCCCAGGCTTTTAGCAAAATCAGATTCGGAAAGTGTCTGAAGTCAGTGCAGTATTAGAGTGGTTTTGCCGGCAGGGTGGGGGTGGGTGGGAGGTGGAGACGCATTCGGACCCGGGTGACTGAGTAAGCAGTGCCTCCCTTTGGATGTCCAGGGAAGTGAGAGCACAGAGGCTGTGGAGCTGGACTATAATCCCCGAGCATCCCATATGCCTGTAGTTTTCTAAAACGCATCAAAGGTGAGTTCCCACCCAGGGCCCCAAGGCCTTTCCGTTTTACGTCCTCAGACCCGATTTAGCCATCCAGCAGCTCCCGTCCAGCCCAGAAGCACAAGGCGAGGTCACAGGGAGTCACTCAGAGGGTGAGGTGGGTTCCACTCCTTTGCTGGGAGCCCACTTTGTGTCCCCTGCTGTCCGTTGACTGTGAGCAGAGGACCCACTTAAGGACAATGTGCTCTTTGTCATCATAAAACAAACACAGGGGCTGGCTTCATTCATGTACCTTGGAATATGCAGAAATGTGCCTGGGTCCAAGAAATTGTGCTGTAAATTGAGCCAATTCGATTCTTACCAAACGGTCTTGAGTTTCGTTGACTGGAGTTTAGAAAGGAAAAAAAAAAAGCAAGTGTTGCAGCTAAATAAAACTCGTGGTGGCGGGTGGATGGCAGAAGGCCACTGTTAAATGTCCTCAGGGATTCATTTCTTAGGGCTTTTGATCACCAGACCTTTTATTTTTCAAAGGAAAAAAAAAAAAGAACAGCTGTTGGATGCTACAGGCGGTTTCTTCCTTATATAGTAGAAAACAGCCTGTCCAACGCTTGTGAAGGAACCCTGAAATCCTAGCTCATTCACAGCCTTTCTTGAGTACTGACTTGTGCCAAGCACCAGGGGAAAATGTGAATAAGACGGGGAGGGTCTATACCCCCATGTCCATGCCCGGCATACCGTGGGTGCTTGAGAAAAGTTCATTGAATGGAGTGTGATAACTTAGTTATTAGTCTGGCTGTCACATCACATCACTTTAGTGACTCCTAGGACACTGGAGTTCATTTTAGATCTTCTGTCCTAGAAGTGGCCAGCCAACCCAGTCTGGGGCCCAACTAGAAAGATGCGTGGTGGACTTGGCACCTGACCCTTGGCCCAGCATGGCAGCTGAGAGCATGGGCTGCCTGTGTTGGAGTCCATGCCTCACCTCTTAGTCATGAGACCCGGGCAAGTTACCTTCCCCTGCTGTGCCTCAGTATTCCTATCCATAAAGTGGGGACAGTGGTGGTACCCACCCCATACGGCTGCTGTGCAGATGAAATGCACCGTGAGCGCTCTCTAAACTGTACCCACCACCATCTGTGTGTGTCACTCAACCTTCTCTGATGCCACTTTTCCGAAGACGCACACGGGACCAACGTACTTAGTACTTACGTGCATAATTGCCAGCCCGTCCTTTGGCTCCCAGGCACGCAGTAGGTCCTCACTGTCCTTGTTTGGATGTGAAGCACCTATAGCAGTCAGGTCTGAGTCTTCATGTGGTTACTTTCCAATCCCGTGGTCTTGACCTTGGTCCAGTTTCTGAAGTTAAGGGAGGCTCAGACCTCTAAAATGCAGGTCCTTCCTTCACCGTGGGAAGGATTACACTTAACCAAGTGCCTGGCACACAGTGAGCGCTCGATAAATAGTCGGATTGTTGTCATTCTCATAAACAGCGCACAAGGCCCCTTTGGCTTTTGTGGCCTGGGGTGCCGAGGCTGGTTCACGTGGCGCCCAACGGAGCGCGCATGGCCAGGGCGGGAGGAGGCACGGAGGGCGGGCGGCCTTGGGAAAGGGCCCGTGTTGCAGGCCCCACACGGTCAAAGCATTTTAAAGGCCTTGTATTCGAAAAATAAACCAATTAAATAATACTGCCCCCCATAAAAGCTGACTTTTAATGGACTCCACGGTAGGGTTTTCACCGTGGCGGGTCCTGCAGCCACCGGCCCCGGGAGCCTGTCTGCCGCCACGGGGAGAGTTTAATCTTGCACGGCGTGAGCATAATTTTACAAGTTTTATGGCTGTTTTTTCTCCTCCAAAGTGTTGCTATGTCATTGTGCACCGAGGGCAAGTGGCGTGCATTTAACAGTTTACCTCGTTTTTGGTGGAAATGAAAAATGAAATAAATTAAAGAAAAACACAACATGGATTTTTCCCCCTTCTTCTTGAGGCAGTTGTGGAGGAACAAAGAGGCAGTGTTCCCCCCCCCCCCCCAGCCTAATCAAATTCGAACGGCTTTTATGGGTGGACATTTGCCCGCAGGTCGCCTACCCGGAGAGGGCCGTGGGGCACGCAGCATGCTTTTGGGGCTTGTTCCGCTGACCCCAGGAATCCCGGGGACCGTTCTCCAGGGCGGGGGTCAGCAAACGACAGCCGTGGGCCCGATCCGGCCCCGCGTGTGTTTCTGTGACACGGTTAGAAAAAACCCATCAAAAGAAGAAGACTATTTCCCGACACGTGAAAATGACACGGAATTCGCTTTCTGCGTCCATGCATGGAGCGGCAGTGGCACGCGGCCACACCCGTTGGGTTCTGGATCATCCGTGGCTGCCGACACAGTGCCCCAGACCCCGAGGGCACAGGACCAAAGCGCTGCCTGCCCTTCGCAGCAAAAGCGCAATGACCCGGCTCTCCGAGGCAATGGAGAAGGGGACAGAAAACGCAGCTTCCAGGTTCCTGGAAGCGATGATTTACTCTGAGGGTTTCCATGTAGCTCCAAGGGACAGGTCAAAGGAGAACTGCCTGAGAAAGGGTCAGTTCACCTGGAGAACTTCCAGAAGGAGTTGGCTCCTTGCGGAGATGGCTTTCCTCACGTTTCGGACCTACGGCTGGCTTCTAAGTGTCCCCCTCTGGCTCCTCCCGCCCCAGCCTTCTGTGGCTCTCGGTTCAGAGAAGCCTTTGAGGTCTGCTGACTTCCCATCAGCTCGCTGGATGGCTCACGAGTAGAGAAGTTCTCACCTTCCCCCCCCCCCCCGGGGGTAGGCGGGTTTTGGTCAGGAATCGTTCTGTGCAAATCCAGCGTGCAGTTTGATGCCCTTCAGAAATTTGTAAGAAACGCTTTTTGGCCAGCACCCCGGTTTAAGCATTCTGCAGATAGGAGTAACTCGTTGAATCCTCACAGCCAACCCCATCTTACAGCTGAAGAAACACAGGCACAGCAAGGTTAGGTGCCTTGCCAAAGATCACACAGCGGGAATGTGGTAGAGCCAGAATGCAAACCCAGGGAACATCATGGGTCCTCTCTGCGGCTGCTACATAAGGGCGAATTCTTCAGACTTGTGGATGGATCTGCTTTCCTTGTCCCGCCCATGCCCCTACCAAGTCATTCCACAAGAAAATCGCCTCCTGTGGGAGAAGAAAACGCTTGTTTGCTCATTCATTCGCTCCTCCCTCCTCCATGCCGCCCGCCCTTCAACAAATAATTATCAACAGGTGACTGCGTGTTAGGCTCTGGGAGACTGCCCGGAATGAGGGTGTTTTGTGAACAAGAATGAAAAAAAAGAAAAACTTTTTTCCGCTTAAAAATAGTTTGGGGCGTTGGGGAGGGGGAGGGGAGCGCCTGCCTGGCTCAGTTGGTGGAGCGTGTGACTCTTGATCTTGGGGTTGTGAGTTCAAACCTCACGTTGGGTGTAGAGAGTACTTAAAAATAAAACCTTTAAAAAAGTAGTGCTGAGTGTCCCCAACGCCTTTGGCTTTTGAGGAGTTCCCTTAATTCTCCCTCTTTTATTTTTAAATTTTTTTTATGTGGGCTCCGTGCCCAGCGTGGAGTCCAGTGTGGGGCTTGAACTCACGACCCCGAGATCAAGACCTGAGCTGAGATTAAAAGTCAGACGCTTAACCGACTGAGCCACCCAGGCGCCCCTTTCCCCTCTTTTATTACTTGTAAGTGCTACCTCTATCTGTTTAGAGCCATAGCCCTTGTCCTTTCTGCCTTGACCTGACATTTTCATTAAAAGTAACCTAATTTACAAGAGGCTTTGGGGTGACCGGGTGTCTGACTTAGCTAGTGGAAGAGCCCTCCGGGGGAGGCCCTGCATGGTGCTCAGGAGACCAGAACCAGGTGGGGGTGGGGGGGCGGGGAAGGCAGGAATAAGAGGTTGTAATTGATCATTGAGGCCTCAAGGAGGCTGTGGGATTTGAAATACATCACCAAGCCTGGTGCTGGGAGAACTCACTCTCTCGGAAGAACCTTTACACTGTCTTTTGTAAGTAGCTTCATTTCAGTGAGTTTTAGATGCCTGTCTTGTTTTCTTAAAAATTTGCTGGGAAGAATGTTTAAGATTATTTATGTCCTTCTGAGCGTGGAGATACCTGAATTCTGGAGAAGACATGCCATTGGATAAAGGAACAGCAGCTTTGCTGGAAGTGGTTTTATCTCCTTTCCTTTCCTACCTGTTTCTTCTTCCCCCACCTACCTCTGTGCCTTTTTCTTTGTCAGACAACAAGCCTTTGTTGCTCATTTCTGATGAGCCTTCACTTTCTCTCCTCAGTCATGCGGAGGAACCCCTTTGGTGTGGACATCTGCTGCCGGAAGGGGTCTCGAAGCCCCCTGCAGGAACTCTACAACCCAACCCAGGTAAGCCCTGGAAACTTGCTTGCTTTCACGGCTTGGTCTCCATGCATCAATTTTGAGGGGGAGGGGAGAATGAAAGACTCCAAAATCTGGTTCTTGGGGGATTTGAAACTTCCTTGCACTGCCTGGCATTTTACCTTCAGTGGTGGCTTTCTTGGTCACCCTTTCTCTGTATAATGGCTCCGAAATTCTAGCGAGCGGGATTTAGAATTCGAGAAATGCTTTGGTGTAGTTCTGGACTAAGTTTCCGACCTGCTCAGGTTTGAGATCCACATAGTCACAGGTGCCAGCAATGGGGCTCTGAAATTATAGAGCCGGCTGGGCAGTGTCCCCCTTAGCACCCCGAAAGAAGGTTCACATGTGGGTGAACTGGCCACCCTGCTCCCACGTTGGTTCATTCAAGTCCAAGATGCCCCAAGGATTCCACCTCACTGTACCTGGTTACCAAGACTCAATTCTTTTTTTTTTTTTTTAAGATTTTATGTATTTATTTGAGAGAGAGAATGAGAGAGAGCATGAAAGGGGGGAGGGTCAGAAGGAGAAGCAGACTCCCCACTGAGCAGGGAGCCCATTGCGGGACTCGATCCCCGGACTCCAGGATCATGACCTGAGCCGAAGGCAGTCGCTTAACCAACTGAGCCACCCAGGCGCCCCCAAGACTCAATTCTTGGGCTGGGGTTGGGGGGTGCTTTTTGTTAAGTGACTGTCATGATAAATTGAGCTCAATTATGAAGAGTTTCTCTTGGAGTGAAATAAGCTCCAACCAAGGAAATGTGTCCTTGTGGAAAGCTAGGAGCCAAGGGAAGAGGCCTGGTCACCATGGCGATGGCCTCAGTGGTGTGTGTGGGTCTTGATGTGGAGACTCTAAGGCTGGTTCTCCTGCGGGAACATTAATTAGCACTTGATGCCAGGAACTGGCAAGTGAAAACTAGTGGCCCATTGTCTGACCTTTGAGTGCTGTTGAGAAAAAAAAATCTTTTTCTTTGGCCTTAGTCTCTGAGCTTTACTTTGTATCAAATTCCTAATTTAGTATTTCTGTGGACTAAGGTGCTTGGTAGAGGAAGATGATGCATGGTAATGCTGCATTCCCTGAAGTCTCGCAAAGGGAACTTTCTGATCCCACAGGTCTTCCCTGTCTCTCACCTGCACTCCCTTCTGGAAAAATGGACTCCTGAGTTTGTGCATCATGGGTGGCCTAACCAGGTGAATTCACTCCCTCGTCAGCCCCACTGCTTTGGAGTTCTAGTGTGGCGAGGCCTGATTAGCCAGGTAATTGCAAACTCACATTGCCTAAGGCTTCCTATTGGGTTCCCTGGTGGCTCAGCAGGGAATGTGATATTTGGGGGTTTTTTTGGCGCCCAATTAATCTGATTATTACAGGCAAGTCTCCTAGCATGTTCGCATACCTGTCCTTAAAAGAGGTAGAACTCGCCTCGACAAAGGATAGGGTTTCTGGTAAGCCATTGAGAATAACACAGGCTACTGAGATGCAAGCCATTCCTATTTTTCTGTTGACATGCCCTGTTCTCAGATCATTTTCCCTTTCAAAGTACAGCTGCTGAAACACTACTTCCTGGTGAAATTCTGTGGGCAGCATACAGTGTCATGGGAGGAGCTTATTTCTGAAGTAGACACCCCTCTGGACAGCAAGTCCACGGACTGTGTCTGCGCTGTATCCCCAACCCCTAACACGTCTACAGACGGTGCCCCCAAATATCTGTGATTGAAAGAATGAAAGTCTAGGTTCACACCCCTACCTCGCCTCCGCTTGGTTGTGCAACTTGAATACGTGATGAGTCCGTGTCTCTGGAATGTTGGGAGGATAAAATCACTCTGATGTGTCAGGGACTATGTAAACATTTGTCATTATCGTGGTCATGTGGGGGGTTTCCATACCGGAAGCCTTGACTTCGAGTCAGACGTGGGTTCAAAGCCTGGTTTCTTCATTTCCAAGCTACGTGAGTGTGGGCAAGATACTTCATCCCTCTGAGACTGCCTTCCCTCATTTGTAACAGTACTTTGCTCGGTGCCTCCTATGGAGTTTGTTCATTCCTGGATTCATTCATTCGTTCACTCATCCGTCTCTTCAGTATTACACATGCCAGGCGCTGGGCACCAGAGAGTGAGCTGGGCATGTGGGTTAGCCTTCCATGTCTGGTTCCTCTTGGTATCCCAGGGCTGACGTGAGGGAGTTGACTGGAAAGGGAGACCCAGCTTGGTCCAACGTATGTAGGTAGAGGTCATCTCTTCCTTCTGGTGGTGGTTTGTTTTCTGGGTGAGAAGCTCATTTAGCAGCAGCCTAGGATCTGGGAGGGAAAATGGGGCTGAAGACGCAGCTCTGGGAGCCATTTTTGAGGGCGTAGGTGGGTGAGTCACCTCCATCAAGAATGTCGTGGGCAAGCTGTCCGGCGCCCTTCTCTGGCAACCAGGAAAATGTCCCCGCAGGAAGATCTCCCTGTTTCCTCGGGATGTTGCCCGGGATGTTTTTTTCTTAGGCCGGTTTCCTTTACAAGCTGCAATTACGTTCCATTCCCACGCAAATATGGCCAGTGGTGCTTCTCAGAGACACTGTCGTGGTGATCATTTGGGCTGCCGTGGGCTGGGCGTTTAGAGGGGAGAAGGGAGCAAGCACCCCTGTTGGGTTAAATTTTGTGTCCACAAGACATTTACAAACTTTGCACCTGACTGAGCATGGTTGTGGTTTGTCGTGTTTCCCTACCAGCCAAGGCTGTTGAAGCTGCTAAGCCTGGACTGATGTTATCACAGGCAGATGACAAACCCTGTAAATTACTAGAAACCAAACTGCTCCTAGAGATGCCATTTCCCCGTCTTATGCTGACTGGTTATTTGGGTTTGATACATGATGGTGAAAACACGAACTGTTTATTGTAGATAAGAAACCAATGTTAGAGCGAGAAGGCACCATCTTAGTTACCATGTACTGATGCTCCAGACCAGCTGTTCTCTAGATGCTTCTAAACACCCCATCATGGAATGCTTAGAATAAGCCCCCAACCAGGTCTGCCACTCCCATTTCACGAATGGGAGAGCTGAGGCCAAGAAAGTTATACAGCTCGCCGAGGGCCACGCAGCTAGTAAGAAGCAGAGTAAGGATTCAAACCCAGGACAGACTACAAATCCATTTATCTCTATGCTATGCTCACTGTCCCCAGCAAAGTTCTCTTGGCACAAATTACCCTGTCTCCCCTCCAAAACAACAACAGAATCACACTCAGATTTTTATTGGGCAAAGGCTTAAAAGCTCCTTTGGGGGAAAATTGGCTATAATCTGATTTTTGTATCCAAGGTTTTCTTATTTCAGGGCCTCACAAATCCCCTAGCCACTAAAACAACAATTGGTTAAAAAAAGTTTATGGTTGATATTCTTAGAAAAACTGTACTCTGATGTCTTATAATTTTCCTGGTTCTCTGCTGTCTCCCTGGCCCCAAAATAAAATGTAATTGCTGATCAGATCAGTTGGTGTCAAGTCACTGAAAGTTCAGGAGTTGCCAACTGCGTATTTGCGGTCCCAGCGCATCTGTGGGCCGCCCTGTTGCAGCTCAGACTCGTGGGGCAGAGCTCCGTCGTCAGCCATTAAGAGGGCATAATTGCCCCCAGAGTTGCCAGCAGGAGTGAGACAGCTTGTCCTTCAGCCTCGCCCATCTCCTGGTCCTCGCATGGGTTCCCTGAAATCTTCACAGCATCACTCATGCGGTTCCGCCCTGCCCTCCCTGGTGCTTTCTTTAGCATTTCTCCTTGCTCTGTGATTACCACGTTCCGAGAAGACAGATGCACAGCCCAGGGGTTGACCAGGAATTCATAAACACAGAGTCTATCTAGAAGGCTTGCAGGAATGCACTAGGTCCAACTGTTGACGGGCATTCCTAAGGGTCTGGGAGGGCCAGTCTCTGAGGGATCTAGTGGTATTCTGGGTGAACTGTTTGAGGCCAAAAACAAAAACAAAAATTTTTTTTTTGAGGAAAAAAACAAATATCTATTATTTGGTGGCCCCTTAATGGTCCAGTCTTCACTATGCTACAGATTTACCTCTCCGTACGGTGGGCTCCAGGAGGAAGGATCAAAAGAGGGAGAAAGGAAGGAAAGTTACTCTTCACTGAAAGTGTAATCTACTTTCACTCTACTAGACCATGCTGTTCGAGGCATTTCTACACATATCTCATTGAATCTTCACAACAACCCCAAAAGGAAGGTTGAACCCCATTCTTCAGATAAGTTAAAGGAGGTTCAGTTAACTGAGCAATTTGCCAAGATCACGTAGCTCTCTGAAATGGTAGCGCCGGGCCCATCTGACCTGGTAGGATTGTAGGAGGATGGGAGCCTATCACTTCGTCTTTTCCAAGTGGAAAAAAAATGCTTCCTTGAGGTTCTCTTCCCTAGTGACTTAAGCTGAGATGGATGTGCTGAGGACTGTTGTAAAATTCCCGAAATCAGGGGCCAAGGCTTGTGGAGTGATGTGGAATGCACAGTGGATGTCCAGTAAACAACTGAAGTTTTGTTTTCTGCTTCCTGAACCTGATATTTGCAGAGGCCTTTGTCTCTTGGCTGTGGCCAGGCTGAGCAGGAACCACCCTGAAGAACTCTGCTGTGGGATAGCTTACCTTGGTCAAATTGGGAAGTCGGGGTCTTTGATTTAGACTGATAAAAGCTGGAATTGTCCAAAGGGGTTGGGGTGGGGGCTCTTCTAGCACAACCTAAATAGCTTTCTTAGCAATGCTTGCCGAACTTTGTTTCTTCTGCATGCATTTATAGGCTAAGCAGAGGGAAAAGACGTGGGGAGGAGAGGCACGTAGGTCGTAGGACATGATAAATGGAGCACAATAGAGAAGCCTTTCAGTTATGGGAGAACCAGGAGTAAGTAAGCAGCCCTTTAAGGTACAGGGCGAGTGGGAGGCTTTGTAGAGGGGGTGGCATTTGAGTTAAGCCTTTGAAGACCCATCAGGCTTCCCCTGACAGAGAAGAGGGAACAGCATCAGGGAGGGGAGGAATAGCAGGAGCGTGGGCCCCAGGTGGGATAGTCCATGGCACGATCAGAGAATGGTGAGGGCTTTGTGGCCGGAGTGAGGAGCCTGCGGGGAGCTGATTGGAGAGAAGGCAGCAAGGGCAAGGTGGTGCCTGCTGGACCAGGCTTGTCCACCCTTGCGGAGGGTGTAGTCTTTACTCGCAGGCGGGATCGGTGGTCACAAGGAGCCCAGAGGAGAGAGCATACAGCTCATGAGTCAGGGCTGCTTCTGAGTCAAGCCGCTTATTAACTGTGGGGCTTCTCTAAGGCAGAGCCTGTCCCCTCCTTGCCGCGGTGGCCTCTTCCACAAAATGACCGAGACCTGGCGTTCTCATCCGTGCCTGCCCATGAGGACCACTCAGGAAGCTTTGACACAGTGGCCAGTGCCCGGGCCTCACCCAGAGATTCTGCTTTTGTTGGTGGGTCTGGGTTAGGGGCGGGGGCATCAGTGTTCTTCAGATTCTGAGCGGCGGCCGAGCTCAGAAGCACCGGATTGGCGGGTCCGTAGGGGTCACTCCAGTTCAAAACTCTTTGATTCTCAAAAGCCCCTCAAAGTGTATGCACCAAGGCCGCTCCCTGTCGTTTCTTACAAAGGCCCTGGGGCAGTTTTGAGCTCTCAGCCTCTCTCGTGTTCCACTGGCGGGTTCATGAGTCGAGGCCCCCAGCGTGGGAGACTCCACTGGGGCCGTGTGGTTGGACCCAAGAGGTGGAGCCCCCAGGCAGGGCTTTGGGAGGGGCCCTGCGTCCGGGACACTTGAGCCACGCGGCTCTGGACCCCGTAAGCAGGAGAACCCAGACTTGCCCCATGCCACGCATCAGATGGGCGCTTCAGAAGGAGCAGCTCCAGTCTTTTGGATAAGTGCGAAAGGAAAAGAGGCTCTCGGCCTTCCGAATTTTCGTTTGGGAAGACTGCTGCTAATGGTTGACACCCCGGAGAAGGCAAGGAAGAACAGACATTGTAGAGCCTCCAACTCTGGGCAGTTAATCCCTTCATTACCAACCACCTGGTAAATGATGCGTCCATCTAATTACCTTGTTTTGACCCAACAGCTGTCTACCAGCCGAAGAGGGATTAATTGATTTAGTTGTGGACTGGCTCCTTATGCAAAGATATTACTTACTGTCAGCCTAGCAGAAAGGCAGCTGGCTGGCAAAGATGAAATAGTACATGAACTTGATCTTACAGCGCTTGGGAGAATGCTTCATTATTAACTGCAAATTACAATAGATGAGTGAGCCCATTGCAAA